AAAACAAACAAAAAAGCTTTGTGAACTTTTGAGGTTGGGTTTGCTGTCTGGCTGTGTGCTAAGGATGAGAAGCCCTGAATACAGAAAAAAATGAAAAGAAAAACAGACCTGGATTGAACAGCTGTCTTAGGCTTACTTTCCTCTATAGCAAACTGTGGTTTTTCTGTTTCACCACAGGAATTTTGAGAAAATTGTAACGCATCATATACATGAAATATGTGCTACAAAGTACTCAATATGTTATCTTTATTTTTAAATACTAGCATTACTACTATGAGAATGATTATTAGCACAATACTTGGCACTGAGTCTTTCTTGAGTAAATCTTCATTCTCACCCATTTGCCTCGGGGGACAAGAATCGCTCTTTTGTGTGTGGGTGTTGCTACTTTTTTATTGTAGTCTAGTGGCTTTACAGCTGGACAACGAAGTGAAACAGGTGTCTGTTTACACATATCCCCTCTTTTTGGATTTCCTTCCCATTTGGTTCACCGCAGATCACTGAGAAGATTTTTCTACACTAAGCAGTTTGTTCTCATTAGTTACCATTTTACACGTAGGATCAGCAGTGTATACACGTCTGTCCTAATCTCCCAGTTCATCCCACCCCCAACTCCGCACCTTGGTATCCATGTTTGTTCACTTATAGAGTGAAGTAAGTCAGATATGTGTATATAAGGCATATGTGTGGAATCTAGAAAAATGGTATAGACGATCTTAGTCGCAAGGCAGAAACAGAGACACAGACATAAAGAATCACTCTTCTGCTGTTTAGTACATGGCACTCAATAAGTTCAAAGATGAGCTAAGGCATTTCTAGCCCTTCCCACACCTCCTCTGCCTAAGCTGGGCCCACTCACGTTGTATAGAATACGAGCTCCCCTGACGGTCCGTGAAGGCCCTGTGTTTCCCCCTCCACTCATGAAGGGTTCATGAAGATTCATATAATTAAACTTGTATAACTCTATAATTTAAAAAGTTCATTCACCTACAGTGCTGCATTTAATTCCTACAATGTCTCTCTTCTTTTTATCTCTGCTTCACCAATGAGAAAATTAAGGCTCAAAGAAATTAATAACCCAATAATAATAATAGATAACATTTTTTTCAGGCACTGTGCTGAGTACTTTCTGGCCATTACTCAGCAAATCCTCAAAGCAATTCTAGTGGTATGATAGGCACAATTCTGGAATGGCTGGCAAGCCCCTCTGCCCAGCCCTTCTCCCCCATCTCTTGTATATGTATTTTTTTCATACCCATTTATTTGTCTGCACCAGCTCTTAGTTGCAGCCTGCAAACTCTTAGCTGTGACATGTGGGAGCTGATCAGGGATCAAAGCTGGGCACCTTGTGTGAGGAGCGTGAAGTCTTAGCCACTGGACCACCAGGGAAGTCCGCCAGGCACGTCCTTCGTACAGTCCTCGCTACTGTGGATCTGGTAGCTTTGTCAGGGAAGGAATTAAACCCAGCCCTAGCCCTTTAACCTGGTCCCCCGCCCATCACCTTAAAAAACCTAAGAACTGAATGACTGACAGCTGCCACAGCACATCTAGAAGCCGCCCCACTGGGCTGGTGCCTGCGCCTTCTCTATCTATCTCTTCTCTTCTCTATCTCTAAACATTACTGATATTAAAACTGATTAAAAAGACTCGCCAAATGTCCATGATAGCCACTGGTGTCTTTTGTGGGAAATGTATCCTTTGGGTTTATGTCAGTAAAACCTAACTTGTATATGGTTCACAGGCCAGCAGGCTCATATTCACCAAGCCTCTCTGGGATTACACCATGCATATGCCTAGATGACCGAAAATGTCAGGACCCAGGAGGCTGAGTTTAAGGCCCTGGCTTTTGGCAGAGCACCTATTGTTTTCAGACCACCAGGCTTCCAACGCTCTCCCCATAATGTCAAGCTGATGTCTGCTATTCCTTGTAGAAGTTAGTGTCATACAGCAGAGGAAATGACAGGTTCAACCTGTGGTGACACTTTTCCAGGGTGGGCTAAACACAGGCGGCAGAAGTGAACACAGCAATTCAGGACCAAGCAATACATCACATACTCCAAACACCGCTAAGAAGGAGATCAAAAACTCATCTAGCAGCCAATACCCATATATTGAATTCTGCAGGCCGGAATACTGGAGGGGGTAGCCTTTCCCTTCTCCAGGGCATCTTCCCAAACCAGGGATCAAACCCAGGTCTCCCATGTTGCAGGCGAATTCTTTACCACTGAGCCACAAGGCTAGTTACATGCAGAGTACATCATGAGAAATGCTGGGCTGGATGAAGCACAAGCTGGAATCAAGATTACTGGGAGAAATATCAATAACCTCAGATATGCAGATGACACCACCCTTATGGCAGAGAGTGAAGAAGAACTAAAGAGCCTCTTGATGAAAGTGAAAGAGGGGAGTGAAAAGGTTGGCTTAAAGCTTAACATTCAGAAAACTAAGATCATGGCATCCAGTCCCACCACTTCATGGCAAATAGATGGGGAAACAGTGGCTGACTATTTTTCTGGGCTCCAAAATCACTGCAGATAGTGATTGCAGTCATGAAATTAAAAGATGCTTACTCCTTGGAAGGAAAGTTATGACCAACCTAGATAGCATATTAAAAAGCAGAGACATTACTTTGTCAACAAAGGTCCGTCTACTCAAGGCTATGGTTTTTCCGTTGGTCGTGTATGGATGTGAGAGTTGGACTATAAAGAAAGCTGAGCACTGAAGAATTGATGCTTTTGAACTGTGGTGTTGGAGAAGACTTTTGAGAGTCCCTTGGACTGCAAGGAGATCCAACCAGTCCATCCTAAAGGAGATCAGACCTGGGTGTTCATTGGTAGGACTGATGTTGAAGCTGAAACTCCAATACTTTGGCCACCTGATGTGAAGAGCTGACTCATTTGAAAAGACCCTGATGCTGGGAAAGATTGAGGTCAGGAGGAGAAGGGGACGACAGAGCATGAGATGGTTGGATGGCATCACCAACTCAATGGACATGGGTTTGGGTGGACTCCGGGAGTTGGTGATGGACAGGGAGGCCTGATGTGCTGTGGTTCACGGGGTCACAAAGAGTCGGACACGACTGAGCGACTGAACTGGACTGAACTGAGCCAGCAGGGAAACCCAAGAACCCTGGAGCGGGCAGCCTGTCCGTCCTCCAGGGGATCTTCCTGACCCAGGAGTCAAACTGGTCTCCTGCGTTGCAGGGGGCTTCTTTACCAGCTGAGCTCTCAGGGAACTAAAGACATATTCAGAAACATATATATATTTCCATCAAAGTAAGTATTTTTAAAAGTTAAAATTAAAATATTTCTTAGAGAAGTCAGTTCTCTGAAATCTGAACACTGGCTGTCTAGGCTGATTCAGCACCGCGGGTCGTCAAGAGGAAAGAAATAGGGAGCACAAGTAAGATCTGAAGATCTCAGGACTGAGTGGATACAACAATCCACAGATCTAAGAAAGAGCAAATCCCAAGAACTTAAACAATAAACAAAAACTACACACAGATGGATGCACCACACTGAAATTACAGAACCTAAATGCAGCCTAAGCAGCTAGAATTTTAAAAACTGACTTATCAACAGCAACCATAGAAGCCAAGAATCAGTGAAATAATTTCTTCAAATATGTGGATCAAAACTGACAAGTAACCTAGAATATCCAACCCAAGAATGAAAGGAAGGAAGGATGGAAGGAAGCAAGGAAGGACGGAAAGAATGGAAGAAGGGAGGGAGAGGAGAGAGAAAGAAGAAAGAAAAAACTTCTAAGAATTAAGGCAAAATAAGACATTTCAGACAAGCAAAAACCGAGAAGCTGCTACCAGTGGCTGCTCGTTAAAGAAAATTCTAAAGTTTGCACTTTACTGAGAAAGAAAACTACCTCAGATGAAAGCTCTAAGACACAAAAAGGAAAAAATTTCCTCTTGGGAAGATTTTTCAAGACCATCCGAAACATAGCTGCTTTCTGTTTTCTGCCTGCACACACATGACAATCATACCCACAAATCCACAATCATGTCCACAAATCCAGTGGACATAGGGACCACCTAGTCTGAATCTTTTCTTTAGTGATGGAACCAGCTCCTGAGATTCAGTATGATTTGTATCTTACCATATGACCAGTGGCTGGAGTGAGTGGGGCAAGAAAGCAGATTCAGCTGTTTCCCCCAGCCTTTCACCAAGGACCTAATCGGGGGGCGGGCGGGGGAGAAGGGGAAGGTTGACTAGAAAGAGCCCTGGATTGCAAGGCAGTTCTGAGAAATTTCAGCCAGGCTGATGGTAAGGCCCCGGGCTAAGATTCTTTCTTAGAGCAGTTCTTTGTGGGACAGTTCTGCTTCCTACACTGGGCTCAGTCACCGGCTGGGGGCCCCTGGGTGGAGGCGGCGTAGCCTGGTGTGGTTGGCCCAGAGGTGTGATCACAGGGCTTGACCATCACCAGCCACACTTGTCCAGGCGGCTTTTCTCGAGGGACTTCGAGCCCAGCACTTCGTGCCCTCCACAGAGAAGAAACAGCACACGGGTTCTAAGACAGGGGTCCCCAGCCTCCAGAATCTCATGCCTGGTGATCAGAGGTGGAGCTGATGTAATAACAATCAAGTGCACAATAAATGTAATGTGCTTCCATCATCCCAAAATCACCCTCCCCACCCCCAGGATAGAACAATTGTCTTCTAGGACACCGGTCCTGGCCAAAAAGGCTGGGGGCCACTGTTCTGAGAGATAAGCACCGGAATATCTGTAGCACAGTGTTTATTATAACCCCAGACTGGAAACAACTCAGACGTCCATCAGCAGGACGGTTGGTCAGTGCATGGTGTCATGAGCACACAGTGGAATGCCTGTCAGCCGTGAGCGGACTACTGGGCAACCGCAAGGATGCATCTCATTAGTAACGTTGGGCTGAATAAAGGAGGTCAGAGGCAAGGATGCATCTCATTAGTAATGTTGGGCTGAATAAAGGAGGTCAGAGGAAAGAAGGGATACGTTGTCTCCATTTACAGAAGTTCAGATACAAGTAAAATTAAGTGATACATTCCCAAAGACAGTCTCTTGAAATCGGTCGCTCCGTGGTCCGGTCCGCGGCATCTGGATCGTCTCGAGCGCAGCTGGTCCGCAGTTTCGGGCGGTCTGTCCCGTTCCTCGGGGGCGCGCTCTTGGCGCGGCGGCAGCTTTCGCCGTGGCCACAGCCCGGCCCTCGCGCAGCTCGCTCCCCGCCGGTGAGGGCTTCGGTACCTACAGAACCGTCCACGGGATGTGGCTCAGACTTTCTCTAGGGCCCTTGAGGAGGAACTGACTGTCCCTCACTTGGCTAAGTGGCTGAGCTGTCATTATTTTGACCTGTTGCTAAGTGGCTGAGCTGTCATTATTTTGACCTGTCCGGCTGCTTCGCCTTTGCTTCTGCATTTTCTCATTTCTCTAAGTTTATTCCTTGACTGCAGTTTTTCTACAGACAGAAGGCAGAAGGACATGCTGCAGGGGTGGGGTGGGGCGTTCCTGTCCTGGGAAGGCCCCATAGGGTCCGGACCTGATCTGTTTCAGGAATAAGTACTACCAATCATCACAAAAAAAATTTTTTAACGTATGGCAGCAACAATATATTAAAATGGCATGAAATGACCAAAGGAACACAAGCAAGAAGAAAAAAAAAAAAAGATCAGGCTATCAGTCATGGTGATTGCAATGACCTGGTCACATCCCCGCTTTGGAAACACCATTTCTCTAGTTCATTTCAAAGAAAACTAATCGATGGCTTCTGATATTTTCTTCCAGCTCCAACTATTTTTTTTTTTTTTAAGGTTTTGGCTACACATTGCCACTGGGTGGTGCTCCCAGTCCACGGCAGCATCTTGGAACTGCCGGGAGCAAATAAATGAAAAGCAGGCAGCCGCTGACTGGTTTTCACACATATGAACAAAACATTTAAAATATTTTCTCTCCTGTATTGATGCATAAAAAAGCACAAACACCAAAGGAAGGAAGCGGCTATCTTTAGAAAGAACAAAAGCATCTCTGCAACTGTGAAAAAAAACAAAACCAGCCAACTAGGAAAGAGGCTGCTGAAACAAGTTTCCAGAGATCAATAATGTTCAATCTCCTTTGACTGAGGGCATGACTGGCAGCTTACAATAACGACAGAATCGAAGTCCTTGCACAGAGGGTTTTTTAAGCAGCTTTCCTAGTTGCACAGAGGCCTCTTCTGCAGCTACATTTTGCGTGTGCGCGCTGTGTGGACTTGTGCGTCTTAGGAGACTCCGTTAAACGCGTTCCTATAAAAGAGGCCAAGGGTTGCCCTTGGGGCCCAGACGTCTGCCTGGCTCCAGCAGCTCTCCCCTTGGGAAAATCAAATATAAAATGCTGTTCAAACAGCCAATTATTGCACTGCTTTAGATAAGGCGACTTGCACTTTCCCCCTTTGTCAAACTCCTGAAAGGAAGGGTTGCAAACCAGAAGAGGAAAGAGCAGTGAGCTTTTCATTATCTATAGAGCCTGTGCTGAAAGGTCATTTGATGAAAAGAAGATGGGAATCAAGTGTGTCTTGACTGGCTCTAGCATTCTGTTTTTTTCTTTCTGGCATGTTCTTTTGTAGCTATGCTAACAGTTTTCCAATGTTGTTTCCTTTTATTGTACAGATTTATCTAATACATGCTTAACAAAATGTAGTTGGGTAATACTAAAATAGCTGATAGTGCCAGGCAATTAAAGAAAAATTGACACGTGCTAAGCTTGTGCATGCCAGGTGCTGAACAATTTACCTCCTCATTCCCTTTAATACTCACAACCCTATGAGGAAGGAGTTATCATCTCCACTTTGCAAGTGTGGAAATGAAGCCTCATCAAGGTTACATAACTTGCACAAGGATGGATGGCTAGGAAACGCGGAGCCTGACTCAGATGAATCTCTGCACCAAAGTGCATGCTGTTCCTTTTCTACGAGAACATTTAACTGAGATTTCAGCGTGTCCTAGTTAAAGAACTCAGTCTCAGGGACGGCGTCCTGGTTAAGAGCTACCTTGCTGGCCCTGCCCCACCAGTCCCCAGGTTCCACAGAGCAGTACTGCAACCTGAGGGTGAAGGAAGACCGCGTCCCAGCATCCCACAGGGATCTCAACCCCTAAGCATGCCATAAGCTCAGCGTGTCAGCAAGCTCTCTGCAGCGGCGGACAGGCTCATCAGACAGCTGGGGTTCTGCTGACCTCCATTTCCCTCCCATGGCAGTTGCGGGAGAGTACCCAAATCTTGCACTTTGTGAGACGTGGGGCAGGTTACTGACCCTCATTTCTGTTCTTAAATCTTCAAAACACAAATAGTAACAATACCTGCCTCAAAGGTTCTTGTGGGAATTAAATGAGCTCACTTGGCATTTAATGTGTTTCCCGGGTGACGCTAGAGGTAGAGCTCCTGTCAGTGCAGGAGCTGTGAGAGATGTGGGTTTGATCCCGGGTTCAGAAAGATCCCCGGCAAGAGAAAATGGCACCCCACTCCAATATTCTTGCCAGGAAAATCTCATGGACAGAGGAACCTGGTGAGTCACAGGCCATAGGGCCACCAAAAGTAGAGCGCAACTGACGGTCTGAGCACATGTATATAATGCTTCTAGCAGGGCCTGGCACAGCCTATGAGCTAACAGATGTTGATCGTGAGCATTATCATTAATTCAGCAGCTCCAGATTTGCACCCCTTTTTAAATCACAACCTCTTTAGCTGCCACCACACATCCTACTGGTCTACCAGGAAAGCATTTTCACTTCCAGGTCCCTCCCTCTCCAAAGAACCTAGCAGTTGGCTGGCAGACTGGTGTCACTATAATGTCACTGGGTTTATGACACTCTCCATAACTAAAAAAGATTTTTTAACTATAACTACATTTTCTAGAAATTAAAGATCTGTATTCTTAGCCCGCATCCCAATACATTCATCAGTCTGCTCCCAACCTATTCTTTCCAAGCTTCTCTCCCCAGTTCTTCTCTCTTTATTCCAGCCTCATTACCACCCTATGCGTTTGTACGCAACTACTCCACACATATGCCAACATGCCCACTCCCATCTGTCAAAAGTTAACTTATGTCTTTAGCCACAGGTTAAATCTTACTCTCCCCCCACAGCCTGAAGCAACTTTTTTTTCTAGTAGGAATTCTAATAGCTTTCTCTTTTGCCCACTCATTTATTTCTCTACACTTATTCATGTGTTTTGCTGTTATCCTCTTCCTTTTCTCAGATTATAAGAAAATTGAAGGCAGTGATTGTCGAAATTGTATACACATCTCCTTCAATTTGTGAAGGGTTTATGTGCACATAAACCCAGCATAAGTTGAAAATATCATAAGTCGAAAGTGCATTTGATACACCTAACCTAGCGAACATCATAGCTTAGCTTCACCTACCTTAAATGTGCTCAGAACATTTACATAAGCGTATAGTTGGGCAAGGTAGAAGGCAATGGCACCCCACTCCAGTACTCTTGCCTGGAAAACCCCACGGATGGAGGAGCCTGGTAGGCTGCAGTCTATGGGGTTGTAAGAGTCGGACATGACTGGGCGACTTCACTTTCAGTTTTCACTTTCATGCATTGGAGAAGGAAATGGCAACCCACTCCAGTGTTCTTGCCTGGAGAATCCCAGGGACGGGGGAGTCTGGTGGGCTGCTGTCTATGGGGTCGCACAGAGTCGGACACGGCTGAAGTGACTTAGCAGCGGCAGCAGCAGCATAGTTGGGCAAATCATGTAACACAGAGCCTGTTTTACCGCAGGGTATTGAATACATCCTGTAATCTATTGAAAACTGTACTGAAAGTGAAAAACAGGATGGCTGTAAGGGCACAGGATGGTTGAGTGTATCAGTTGCTTACCCTGGTGATCGCCTGGCTGGCTGGGAGCTGGGGTGCACTGCCCCTGCCCAGCATCCCAACAGAGGATCATACCTCATTGCACCAGTCTAGGAAAAGACCAAAATTCAAAAAGTGAAGTATGCTTTCTATTGAATGTGTGTTTTCTTTTAAGTGAACTAGAGAAACTGGTGCTTCCAGAGGAATATGGACCAGGTTATTGCAATTACCTTGACTGTTATGCTCACATCTGTATATTAATTTCTCTAGCTAAAGGTCCTAAACTAGGATATGAGAAGCTCTGAAGCCTTCTTTCAGGAGAACAAAGCTGAATGGAATCTTAATTTGTGTTCCTGAGAACCTGAAAATTTAAGTGGAGGATCTAAGAAGGTGGGTGTGAGATGCTCTGTCTTTCTAGATTTCCTAGAGTAGTGAAGTATGACCAAAAGTTCTAAAGAAAAGTAGCAGCCTCACTGGCACCAAGCTGAGCGGTGCCAATTTTTCTGAGCGGATCAATTTTTCCTGAAGGCTCCAGTCAGTGAAGGGGCTTCCCAGGTGGAGCTGGTGGTAATGAGCCCACCTGCAGTGCAGGAGACATAAGAGACCTGGGTTTGATCCCTCAGCTGGGAAGATCCCCTGGAGGAGAGCATGGCAACCCACTCCAGTATTTTTGCCTGGAGAATCCCATGGTCAGAGGAGGCGGGTAGGCTACAGTCCATGGGGTCACAAAGAGTCAGACACGACTGAAGCAGCTTAGCAGGCACTAGTCAATGAAACACTCGGCAGCCTCGTAGGGTACAAGAGAGTGCTGTCGCCAAGAAATATTAGGACTGATCAAGAAAGAATATACTTTATATTTGTGTGTGTATTTGTAAATGGTTTTAACAGTTTTGAATAAGGAGTTATTCTCTAATTAATTACCAGAGTCCCCTAGTCAACAAGTTTATAAAATAAAATGTGTGCTTGCTTAAATTTGCAAGGCTTCCCAGAGGTTTGATTTTGATCTTCCAAGCACTGATCACTCTGAAGAAAATACAGCAAGGGAGCCCATGTCTTGAGATGTTTTTGACACCTCGTAATACCTGTATTGGTCATCCTGGGCAGGTAATACTGCATAAGCTCAATAAAATAAAGGTTAAATTCTTCTTCATGCTATGTATCGGTCGCATGGATACATATGGGCAGCCCTGCTGCTCATGGTCAGTAAGGGACCCAGGCTCATAGAGGTTCCGTCACCTGGAACATCGCCTGGGACAGTCCCTGTGGAAGCCAAGGAGAATTCACCCCAGCCCAGAAGTGACAGGCCACTCTTTCACACACAGCTCATTGACCAGGGGTGGTCACGTGGCTCCACCTATCGTTAAGAGAAAAGTTTACCCCAGATGTCTTAGACACACTGCCCTGCATTTCTGCTCTAGTGGAGATCAGCGTCCATGTCTTCTGGAAAAGCTATAGGAGACTCAATAAATCTGCTTAAATAGGTCACATATGGGGAGAATAGAGAGTCCAAATGGATGACCTCAGCATGTTGAATTCCTGGATCAGAGATTAAATTCCTTCCAAGCCACATCAACGTCTGTCTCTTTGAGTTAAAATACTCGTGTAGGCCTTCTTTGATATGTTGATTAATGGAACCGTGAAGTGAAGTGAAAGTTGCTCAGTTGTGTCTGACTCTTTGTGACCCCAGTGGAATTCTCCAAGCCAGAATACTGGAGTGGGTGGCCTTTCCCTTCTCCAGGGGATCTTTGCAACCCAGGGATCAAACCCGGAGTCTCCGGAATTTCAGGCAGATTCTTTACCAGCTGAGCCATAATGGAACAACTACAGAATGTGACTAAGTGGAACATTATCTCTTTACATTCTGAGTGGAGAACAGCCAGGCAATAAACACTGGAGTTTGCTTGCTTGAAAGCAAAGTTAAAGACAACGTTTTCCTTTGTGCTGTAACTTCATGGAACTGTTATTTGTGGTGGTAGTGATTTGTTTTATTACCTGTGTCCTAAGACAAAGAACATGCATGGATAAGAACCCCATAACCAGCTTTCTTCACATAAAAAAAAAAATGTGAAGTGACATGACAAATGAATCTGCTAAGAAATTCCTCTCATTTGAGTGAAGCCAAAACTCCAGAGACAAAAGCAATAATCATTGCTACTTTCTCCTGCTGATGCTTAGCTCAAGATGTTTATTCAAGAGAGTTGAGGGAAAAGAAATACAAAATATAGGATTTTCAAGCAATGCTTTGAAATTAAGACTAACATCCTTAGGGAAAGTAATTTCAAAAGCAAAAAAAAAAAATATATGACACTAGTCCCCCTTCTTATTTGAGTTCTTATTTGAGGACTTTTATCATCATCTGGAACAGGATTTCTCAATCAAGGGTGCACATTGGAAACATCTATGGAGTTTTAAAGTTGTGCCTACAGTTGGACTCAAGCATCAGGGATTCTGATTCAATGAGTTTGAGGCTGGGCGCAAGCATCTATAATTTTTAAAGTCCTAGATAAGAATGTATATATGTGTGTGTGTGTAATATTTTTAGTAAATATATATATGAATGTATATATGTGTGTGTGTGTGTATATATACATATATTTTTTTACCTAGGAAGCAGTTTTAATGGTATGACCTCTGTTACCTAAAGGAAAGTGGCATTCTGCATTTTGTTCTTCAGTGGAATTTACAGTCACTAATACACCCTCCATTTATTCAAATAGGGAAACTGAGTCAGACCACCACACACACCACAGACCACACCTCATCACCGCTGAAACAGTCATTACCAGAGCTGAAATCACACCTGGGATTTGCTTAACCCATAACCATTCCCAATTATTTACAGCTATGTAAGCGGTAGTTAAATTCTGCCTGTCAGAGTTCCTCTCTGAATTGTGCATGGCCCCTACCTAGCTGTGAGCAGAGTGTCAATCTGTGACAGCAGGACACTTAGCATTTATCTTCTCTTCCTATCTAGGCAAAAGCAAATCCTGTATGATGTAGCCCTTGTCTCCCTTCACTCACTCCAGCCACACAAGCCAACATTTTCTGCCTCAACACATCAGGTGGTCTCTAGACAGGACAGGCCTGCCCGGGTAGGGAGATGGGCTGGACAGCCACTGGCATGGGGCAGGCACCAGGGCAGGGATGCGGCGCTGGGCTTCGCAGCAGCCCAGTCTGGCCGGGAGCGCTCGTGTTGTGCTGAGGATTGTCTGCTCAGTTTCAGGGAGTTCTGCCATGAAGTAAAGAGTGCTTGGGGGAGTCTGGTCCCCAGGAATTCAGAAGTTGTTGAAATCTGGAGATCCACTCTAGCTGCACGTTCAGAGTCTGGAAAGGCATTGAATTAGACCCCCTCTCTGGCTCTGAGTCTCCTCAAAACTAAAGCCAAGGAACAACAAGCTGATCTTCATGAGATTCATCGTCTGCTTTAATGCACACGGACAGCTATCTTCCATAAATGTTTCATGAGTTGAAAGTCAGGAGGAATTTGTCACAGGAATCTTTGACTAAGAAACATTTAAGTAGCTTAACTGACTTTAACTACTGACCTTTTTTTTGGATATTTCTTTTGCTGACTCCCTTAGATAGATTGGGCTTCCCTGGAGGCTCAGACGGTAAAGAAACTGCTTGCAATGCAGGAGACATGGGTTCAATCCCTGGGTGGGAAAGATCCCCTGGAGAGGGCATGGCACTGCAGTCCAGTATTCTTGCCTGGAGAATTCCATGAACAGAGGAGTCTGGTGAGCTACAGTCCGTGGGGTTGCAGAGTCGGACTCACTGACCAACTAATACTCAAATGCCTCAGCAGCACAGACCAGCCGCTTCGTCGTGTGGGCCTCATCTGTATGTTTGGCTGTGGCTCCCACATTTCGGAGCCCCCAGCGCTGATGACCATGCTGAGGACTGGACCGCTGCCTCACCCAGGAATGTCCTGCCTCAGAGAACACGGGCCTCTTGCTTCTGACTGAAGTCTCCTTCCTCTTCCTCTTCTGCCTTGTAAAGACAGGCTTGTGAGGCAAAGCCCGGCTCAGACGTTGTGCACGCCTACATGCATGGCCAGTCACTTCCGTCGTGTCCAACTCTTTGCGACCCCGTGGACTGTGGCCCGCCCGGCTCCTCTGTCCACGGGATTCTCCAGGCAAGAACACTGTAGTGGGTTGCCATTTCCTCCTCCAGGGGATCTGCCCGACCCAGGGATTGAACCTGCTTCTCCTGCATTGCAAGCAGATTCTTTACTGACTGAGCCTCCAGGGAAGCCTGGCTTAGACAGTAGCACGTGTCAAAAGTGGTCCCTGCTTCAACTCCTGCCCCGGGTTGAACTGACTACCCGACCCCTGCACCTGTGCCAGCCCCCTCAGGCGCACTCACCGGCCGCCGAGGTTGAGAGGTACTGTCTTAGGACTGGTATCTATTACATGTTTATTTGAAATTCAGCGGTTCTGTCTTTTTCAACTAGGTTGAATCCAACTAAGCTAAATGTAATGGATTTGTGGGGAGTTGTTTTTTTCTTTCTGCCACACCACACCAGCTTGTAGGACCTTAGTCCCCCAACCAAGGATTGAACTTGCATCGTCAGCAGTGGAAGCTCAGAGTTCTGACCGCTGGACCACCAGGGAGTTCCCGAAATGTCATTTTTTTAAGTGACGTATACAGTATGATCATGAGAGCCCGGATGTTTATCCTTCTCTGCGCACTGTGCTGAGTCGCTCAATCATTCCGACTCTTTGTGACCCCTCGGACTGCAGCAAACCAGGCTCCTCTGTCCATGGGATTCTCCAGGCAAGAATACTGGAGTGGGTTGCCATGCCTTTCTCCAGGGGATCTCCCAAACCAGGGATCGGACCCAGGTCTCCCACATTACAGGTGGACTCTTTACCATCTAAGCCACCAGGGAAGCCCTATGCTTCTCTCTTTCTCTGTGTGTATATATATATACATGCATATACAATAAATTATTATAAATGAATATATTTATTTATATTTATATGTTAATGTAATATATTTTATAAATACATTTATATTATAAATAAAGTGTTCTATATAATGAATATATATTATATATATTAAAATATCTTGGAATTCCCTGGTTGTCCAGTGGTTAGGACTTGACATTTTCACCGAGGTGGCCTGGGTTCAGACCCTGGTTAGGGAACTAAGACCCCGCAAGCCAAGTGTCCTGCTCAAAAAGATATGTGTGTGTGTGTGTTAACTGCTTTGTTGTTGTCTTACTCTTTGCAATCCCGTGGGCTGTAGCCTGCCAAGTTTCTCTGTCCATGGGATTCTACAGACGAGAATATTGATGTGTGTTGACATGTCTTTCTCCAGGGGATCTTCCTAATCCAGGGATCGAACCTGTGATGTATATATGTATGCATATATACATGTACAAATATAACTATATATTTAAAATATATCTGATTACAATTATTGCTTGTAAGTGGTAGAATTATGTTTAATTTTTGCACTTTTCCACATTGACAGAGTTTTTTCATGAGGATATTTTAATAGTCGTTTTAAAGCAGCCTCCTCTGGCACTTTTTTTCTCTCCTGTGACTCTTTATCTAAAAATGCCCGTGCTTCTCCACGCCGTTGTTCTCTCCCGCTGCATACCGTTGGTTTTCTGTGCCCTTACCACAGTTTGCACGCAGACACCTATGTATTCACTTCTTGATTTTCTGTCTTTGCCTGCTAACTACAAACTGCTCAAAGAAAGGACTATGCTCTTCACTCACCGGTGAACACTCAAAGCCTAAGAGGGCCTGGCAGAGAGTGGCTGCTCGAAAGTTCTTGTCACTTAATGAATGGCTGGACAAATGAATATGTGATATAATAGAAGGGAGTCCAACATGCCTTGAGGGGAAAAGAGAATGAAGACTGTTAGAAATGATTCAAGGGTCTGCCTTGATGAGCCAGGGGTTAAGACTCTGTGCTACTAATGCAGGGGCCTGGGTCTGATCCCTGGTCAGGGAACTAGATCCCGCGTGCCTCAGCTAAGGCCTGAAGCAGCCAAAAAAAAGAAAAAGATCCAAGAAGGTATCACAAAGAAGGAGACACATGAATGAGTGTGGGAAAATGAGTAGGATTTTCCTGAGCTGCGAAGAAGGAAAGCTTCAAGGCAGGGAGAACACCCAGGGCAAGGGAACAGAGGTGTGATCCACAGGTTTGTGAAACAGAAGTCGGGCGTGGCCAGCAGGTCGGCAGTTATATGAGGAAATGAGGAAACAAGGCAAAGAGACGGGTTGGAGCCTATTGTAAAGAGTCCTTTTTTTTTCTGAGCATTGATTTTACATTGGAGTACAGCCAGTTAACAGTGTTGTGATAGATTCAGGTGGACAGCAAAGGGACTCAGCCATACATACACAGGTATCCATTCTCCCCGAAGAATCTTGCAGGACTTCCCAGGCATTCCAGTGGTTACGACTCCAGGTGTTCCCAATGCAGGGGGCATGGGTTCAATCCCTGACCAGGGAACTAAGATCCTGCATGTAGTATGGTGCAGCCAATAAAATAATAAAATAAATTTTTTAAAAATGAATCTTACAAGTAGAGAGGATTTTAATTTACAAGGCAAGCTTAATACAAGTAGACACAAGAAAAGGGGGAAAAACGGCAAAACTCTGGGAAATACCTTCCTGAGGAAGTAGAGAGAAAACGAATTTAAACAGAGCAGTCCAAGAGAAGGAAAACCCAGAGAGGAAAGTGTAACATGAGGCAAGGCAAAGAGAATTTTAAGGAAGAGGCCAAGAGTGTCAGACACTTCAAAGAGACCAAAGCTTCAATTTGATCATGAGGAAGCCCCAGACAAATCCACACTGAGGGCCAATCTACAGAATAGCTGATCAGTTCTCATTTTAAATGTCACAGTCAGGTAAGAAAAGGAAAGATGAGAAGCTGTCACAGATGGGAGGAGATTCAGGAGATACAATACCTAAATGGAGAGCGGGGTTCTTGGACTGGATCCCAGAAGAGAAAAAGAATATTAGTGGAGAAACTGGTCAAATCCAAATAAGAAACGTGAGTCAATGAACCCACAGATGAAAAAAAACAAATAGAGTGGCCATTCTCCCAACCACAGGAGAGAAAGGGGACTTGGCAGAATGAACCTATGAAAGTGCTTCTAAATACTTTAATGTTCACTAACGCGAAACAGTAAAGACAGCCAACCAAATGAGGCTAAAGTTAGAAGCATTCCACACATCTCAAATTAGTAATATCAGAGATTGCATAACTCATTCTATTTTCCAACCCTAGTTTGCTAAGCATTTTTCAGGATCTCCCTTTCCTGAGCATTCAGTAAATGCTTCTGTGTGTGCTTTGCTTTGTGATGGCAACCAAGCAGCCTAAGCTGGTCATCTGTTTCAGTTTCCCAGCTTTTCACATGAGTGAGTGATAGCCCCTCAGTCGTGCCGACTCTTTGCGACCCCACGGACTATAGCCTGCCAGGCTCCTCCGTCCTTGGGACCCTCAGGCAAGCATACTGGCGTGGGTGGCCCACAAAAACCAGGAGAAGACTTGGGAGAGTAGGACAGACATGTGGACGCTGCCATGTGTGAGACAGACAGCCACGCGGGACCTCCCTGAAGCACAAGGCGCTCAGCTCCGTTCTCCACGTGACCGAGGGGCTGGGCCTGGGGCAGGCAGGTGCTAGAGGGACGGGGCACTGTGCACGCGGGCTGACTCGGGGCACTGGATAGCAGAACCCAACACAGCACTGTAAGCCAGACACCCCCATAAAAAGTGAAATAAAAACTAGGACAAAACAGGTGAACCGAAGGATATTTGGGGATGTTCATATGGGTCTTGATAAAAAAGAAAAAAGAAAGGTAATTATGGTTCTGAGAAAAATACAAATAATAATACAAAAATACTTTTTTGATACAAAAATGTATCAAATTTGTAAAATTTCAAATAAAATGCTTTCAGATATTTCACTGAGGAAAGTGAGGTTATTTCTTTATAGCTTTTTGTCAGGTTTTATCTTCAAAATGGCTACATGAAATTCATCAAGACTTTTTAACGATTCTCTCTTCAAATTATTGATAGTCATACGTGTGTGCTAAGTCGCTTCAGTTGTGTCCAGCTCTTTACGACCCTGTGAACCGTAGCCCACCAGGCTCCTCTATCTACGAGATTTCCCAGGCAAAAATACTGGAATGGATTGCCATGCCTTCCTCCAGGGGATCTTCCCAACCCCGGGATCAAAACCACAACTCTTATGCCTCCTGCGTTGGCAGGCGGGTTCTTTACCACTAGTACCACCTAGGAGGCCCTTGATAGTCACTACCTGCAAAAAAACTTTGGGCATGAAGGTAACCAAAAATTCTTAAAACCATTATTTTTCAACCATTCAAAACATTATAATAGTTTGAAATATATATAAGGAATCTAAGGAATTTTCCTTTTCTCTCATTGACAAATGACATACTGAAATCTGTATATTAATATGAATGAATTTGAGCTTTACTTTAGCTTATCAAATAATTTAAATAATGAAGCTATAATTGGTTGAGTGCTATACATTAATGAATATAATGTTCATGTGTACAAAGTCAATTTTCATTCCAATTCCAAAGAAAGACAATGCCAAAGACTGCCCAAACTACCACACAATTGCACTCATTTCACATGCTAGCCAGGTAATGCTCAAAATCCTTCAAGCTAGGCTTCAACAGTGCATGAACCAAGAACTTCCGGATGTACAAGCTGGATTTAGAAAAGGCAGAGGAGCCAGAGATCAAATTGCCAGCGTCAGCTGGATCATAGAAAAAGCAGGGGAATTCCAGAAAAGTATCTACTTCCGTTTCATTAACCACTAAAGCCTCCGACTCTGTGGATCACAACAAACTGTGGAAAATTCTTCAAGAGATGGGAATACCACACCATCTTACCTGCCTC